TGTTCTGGGTAATTTCATACTTAACATGAATCCAAAGTCTAAACACTTCGGTGCAATGGTCGCCTATTGTGGAAACCCTGGTTTTTTCTTATATGGTGGCAAATTTTTCTCATTGTGGTTTTTATCAATATTCAGTCTGTTGTGTCTTATTTGATTCTACTGATCCACTGGCATTTTTCCTCATTTTCTCCCCCTTTCTTTCTATATTCATTTACACTTTTCACCGATTTAAAATCCCATTACAGATGGGTAAAAAAACAAAATAACAAGATGAGCATAGAAAGAGGCAACTTAAATAACAGCAATTTAAATAACACCAACGTTTTTGTGTTTCAATTTTTAGGCACTTTTGGTGCTACTCTCAAGTTTGTCGTCAAGGATTGTGACCCTACAACCGGGGAGCCTGACACAGATGAAGGTTATCATGATACTTACATGGTGAGTAATTTTATTCAATTATACTCTTCTTTCATTGTAACATGTCGATGTTTTTCACTATTATTATTATTATATTTACTGTGAAACTTTTTGAATTACAGAAACAATTGCATTGTTTTTAAAGATAAAATAAAGTCGAAAATAAGAACAAAAAAAGTACACTGTGATTTATTTACATGAAAAAAATTAGTAGTCGATCAAAGATTTTTACTTTAGTGTACTTAATGAAGTTGGTACGATTTAAAAATCCAATCATATTAAAAAAAACAATAACAACATTGTAGACTATTCTGTCAAGCTAAGACCAAGATCGTGTAACTGAGGCCAGGGTTTCAAGGATGCATTTGAAAAATTAGAAGCCTTTACCCACAAAAAGTTTACAAGCCTCTTGAAAACATGAAGTCTTTGTAAATTATTTTTAGAAATAATGTCAGCTTATGTTGTCTCCATGTATCATAAAAGGAATCATGTGTAACTTGCTTGCAAAAGCATTTTCTCGAGGTATTCACAGAGTATTTAGAGTCAATGCCCAAAAAATTCATACTTTTTTAGATTGTGATGGAAGACCTGCCATCTTGATTCCAACATTTACTTTCATTGCTAAACTGATGTCCCAAATCTTCTGCGGTAGTCCCTAAGTGTGTAAACTTATTTGGTGTTGATTCTAGGTTGTCAATAATTTGGATGGCATTTAGTAGTAGAAGAAATGCAATCATGGCGTTGTAAAATTCGTGCGTCTTCATCTTCATTTAGAAGCATGCGTAGAATTAGCAAACAATGTTTGTTTTTCTACCAAAAAATGATTAATTTATATTATATGTACAATGATTCATTTTTAATCATTATTACTTGTTCTATTGGCTTCATTACTCACATTTCTTGACTTAAATTTTCAGTTGGAGGACCTGGATGTGTTGCTTAGCGATCAAGTGGTTCGGGTTATGAAAGGGAATTGGGGAGCTGCATGGGAGCAAGCAGAAGGCGAGTCATTTTTCGAACTTGAAGATACTTACGTGCTCACCAGTGTTACATCTCTGGAGCAGGCGATTCAAAATATTGTTGTATTTCTTGGCATGCAACCGGCTGAAAGAACAGACAGGCTTCCTCAAGGAAAATCAGCTCATACTCTCCTCCTTGCGGGTAAGCTCTTGATTTTTTCATTTTTGTTGTCTTGTTGTTTTTGCACCCTCTTTGTGACAGGGTGAATTTTAATCCACCTTATGGACAACTTGACAAGGTACAAAATTCAACTCAAAATTTTCCAGTACTAGAATTTTTTTGCCCACATCGAACTCTCCTCAATTGAAATCCTCCAAAGTAAAGCAGTGCTTTACCAAAAAATCTAAAACTGGCATTAAAAAATTGAAAAAATTGGTTTAACTCAAGTTCTAGTCTCGCTGAAATCCCATTGAAGTCGCAAAAAAACCTCATTTAAGTTTTATTAGTTAATTCCTATAAAACCAAAAACTAACCGAAAGTCTCTGTTGAATTTTTCTTAAAATTTTTCCTCCTGTTCTCTAAAAAGCACACACAATTCGTCGCTTCTTTGACGTAAAGGAGTAGCTCAATTTCCATGTAAGCCTAATTTTACATATAAAGCCTTGCTTTCTAGGGCTCATGTGAAAATCGAGGTAGGCCCATATGCTAGAGGGACTACGAATTGTGAGGAAATATTATGATTAATTTTCCTCAAAGAAAATAAACTATAATCCGAGATTTTTAACATTCCAATTAAGGAGTCTTTTGCTATTACAATGTATTAAGTACAGACAAAATCAATTAGCAGGTAACACAAGCTTTGCTCTGAACTTAAATCATTTTTTAATCTGTGAGTCTATCCTGAGCTAGTAAAGCACAGGTTGATTTTTTCCATTTGATAACTTTTCATTTCTTATTTATGTTAGGCATGTTCCGTGGAGGTCATGATGTTCTTGTACGTGCTAAATTAGCGCTAGCTGAAGGTGTAACCATGCAAATCACTGTCAGAGCTCCATCTCAAGAAATTGCTGAGTTGATAACCTCTGCTCTTGGTTAAAGCCCAGAGGTACTTTTTGTAAAGCCTGTATATAGAGAAAAAAATTGTTAATTGATCTTCATTTGTTTAAATCTTTGCTGAATGTTAGCTCCAATAATTTTCCTTCAGTAAATGTATGTATAGATAATTTTTATCTGAAAGTCTTTATTAAAGTTTTTACAGAAACTTGTCAAGTTTTGTTTTTTTCACTTCTTATAAACATTGAGTCACATTTTTATGCCTAACATTGAAATACTTCAAAGGAGCGGAACATTTTTAAGGCCCTTCAAAATGAAATGCTTACCGTTTGACAGACAGTTTAGAAGAATGGGCGACTTGGCAACATCTGAACTTAAAAAAAGTACATGTTTTCTCTTCAAAATCTCAAATAGAAAACTCCTTACATTAGAAGAAATTGGAAATTGGCCCCTAAATGAAACGTAACCGGTATTCCCAACAGTGATCAAATATAAGTTAGATTGTATAAATGTTGATGCTCGTATTTTTTTCACAAACCAGTGCTAGTTGTAAATATTTATACCTTTTTAAGAGTTAATTTTCAGGCCTCCTGTCATGTCATTTCTATTTCTTGTGGCATTTTTAAGAGAAAGCACATTCCGTAGTGCCTTCATTCATTGCTTGTTTAGTGATGCATTCCAATTTATTCCTTTTAATCATTTTAAAAATGTTGAAATTGAGGTTCAACAATCCACTAAGCTCTTCAGAAAAATTCTTTCACAGTTAAAGACCTCAAAACGTGCCAATTTTCATCACTTTTCAATAATTTGTTAAGTCAGAAGTAGAGCAGTGCGATTAATCGAACATTAATCGAAATCGCAAATACATTTTTTTAATAGTAATTGTAATTGAAGTGAGGAATTGTTTGCAATCAAGTTGTTTAAGACGTCATGAAATGTTGAATTTGTACTTCCCGCCGCGTACGTTTGAATTGGACGACGTTAAACAGAAAGGAACCAAGCCACATCAGCTAGATTAGGTTACCTTAGTAAAAATATTCACCCATACATATGTATAAATAAGAAAAGTGAAAATCCCCCCCCCCCCAAAGTATACATTGGCCCTCTGTGCCGCTAAGGTAAAAGAACAAATGTAGAAAATTCGTAAGGTGCCGTTCAAGTACTACGTGCGCTACTTAAGAGGGGAAGCAGGTCTAAGCTTGCCTTAGAGGGCGAGGAGGGGAGCAGACGTCAAGCCCAGTCTAGCGCAAGCTTTTTTTTAAAGATCCATAAATTCCATTAATTTTTCTGGACCCCTTCTTTTTTTTGCAAA